CCGTTTGCAGATTGTCTTTTATTTCAGAAAGATCCCTGAATATTTTGGGGGTCATGTGCATGTAGCACTGGAGGAAAGTGTAATATCTAGACTGGGAGTGTTCAGCAGTTAAATTAATTCTGGACAGAAATGGAGGAATTAATTCTACTGCTTTTACATTGAGCACTGACATTGTCCCTGGATTAGTGTGGCCCCTCAGGGATCCCCAAGATGAACATAAGTATTAGTGGCAGGATCAGGCCTCTTCCCCAACATGACAGTGATAAGACAAGAGCTGTTAGGTGTCATCTAAGTGGAAGAATATTCACTAAAGATTGTGAGTGTTATGCTGAGTTTTGTTTTGATAGCATTTTTGTGTTCTTTGGAAGATTTCTAGGTAGCTTTCTAACCTCAAAATTAAATACTGCATCCATTTTTTCAGCAAAAAAAAAGTAAGTTCTATTTGATGCTAAAGAACTTCTTATAAATAAATTTGTTAGAACACTGCCTTGATGGTTATAGATGATTTTCATGAATGTTCAGCCTGACCTTGTTTTACTTTCTGAGAATTATACCCTTATGCTCGTGTTTAATTTTGGGTAAAGTAAGCAACACTTGTTTTATTTCCGTTGGCAGAAGGAAAGTCCACTCTGAGAAGGTTCAGTCTCAGAAAGAGAACAGCTTGTTTGCTAAGGTTTGTTACTGCTGTAACACTTCTGTGAACATCAGTGTTAACATGTATTGGACGTGGGTTTATATGAGCCTGAAAACATGATATTTATGATTGTTGACCCAGCATGTCCTTTTTTTTTTTCTTTAAATATATCTGTACCCAACTTGGCACCTGCTTTGCCAGTGCTGGGCTTTCATGCTAGTTTATTCTCCAACAGAGTAGCTGAGGCTGCTCTAAATTTACGTTGATGTAACTTCACACAATTGCAGGATACCGTTAGGATTTTTTATGGTTTATTGCTTTTTTTAGGTCTGTGTCCTACACATACTCCTTTTCTTTGTTTTGTTTATGGGATTAGGCTCCCTGGAGTGCCTCTCTACCACAATATTTCTGTCTGAGATTCCAGTTTATGGGTGTCTTTTTTCCTCTGTCGTTTTCTTTCCAGAGCACACACAGGCAGGTAACTTCTCAGGTACTTAGAGAAGCAGCTGATTGTTCCCTCAGATTTTGCTTCTGGCTCTGCCTTCCCAGATTGGCCTTCATTTTTCAGATAACATGTCGAAGTTTCTACTTTTCTCACCAGCTGTTTTTTATAAACGTAAAAATATCATCAAGATCTGGTCCTTTTAGTATGCTCGTGGGTGAGTAGAGATGGAAGTAATTTAGGAAGCAGTTTGGCTCCATTCCTTCATCTTCCCAGAAGTTCTTGCAGCCTTCAGCATTTGTTTTTACAGCCACAAGCTAATGCTTACACATCTGCACAGGTGTCCAACTCTGATAGGGCTTCCAACACCCAGTTGGCTGCTGGTGAGCACTTAGGTCACTGTCATCTCTGGTCCTGAAGTCCTCCTGTAGTGCTCTGGTGTCACTGTTTGTACACCAAGACTGTGCATGAGGTGCTTCACTTGCTGAGGCAGGTGACATTTCCACGGTGCTGTTAGCCAGCCCTCTTGGTTTTTCGCCATCTACAGAATTCTGGCTCTGTTGTGTCAGGAAGGAAATCCTGGAAAGCTGACTGCTTTTCTTGGCAGCTTATGTCCACCCTTGAGGGTCCAATGAAAGCTGCAGGACGTCACACAATGGCTGGTGTCTCTTTGACATGGGAAACTGAAATGGAGGGTAGATTTGATATCTTACACACTGATGTATGTATAGGTCTGTCACACCTTCATCAGACTGTTGCATTAGGGAAAATCTTGTGATTTGAAGGGCCTGGACCTTTTCTCCCTCTTAGCTGAGCTTTCATGTGGATTAGTGTGAGTGGATCCCCTGATTATAATTTTTTTTATATCTGGAAAAATGGACATTTTTGAAGACCTCCTTTTAGAGCAGTCATCATAATGAGCTTGGTTTCGTTCTCGCAGGACTGTGAAGACGTATCCAAAGGGTATTTTGTGTAAGAAGTTACTTTTTATATTGTACTGCTTTTATTCTATAGAATCAGGATACCTGCACAGTAACTCTTTAGCTTATACCCTGATAGATGATGTATTTATTGCAGAACGTTTTCTTTCAGGTATTTTTGGACACTGACATAAATGAGCCTCTGGTTTGGCCATTTCTTTAACCTTTTTTTTTTCCTTTTTTCTGATGAATATATGTGTTTTTTGTTTGCCCTTCCTTCTCGAAAATTGCTAGCTACCCTCGCCCCTCATATCTCCATGCATGAAAAGCTGAATGTAAGAGCAGAAAACCAACTCATTCTGCCTATGCACAAGCATCTAAACTGGACATCTGATCAAGACTGTCTAGGTCTCCCTAAGCTGTCAGTGGTGAAAGCAAGAGCCCTAAGGAAAGAGGTTTGCTCAACCTATTTTGAATGCACCTCTAAGCATGTGGTGCAGTTTAATGCAAGGGTGCTTTGTTTCCTTTCTCGTGGTCTGTAAGGTTACCTTAAATAATTGGCTTTGGACTTCTTCCTTTCTTGTGGTCTGTAAAGTTACCTTAAATAATTGGCTTTGGACTTTTAAGAGTAGATGAATCTAATCCTTGGCTGGGTTTTTCATAATCTTTGGTTTAGATTGAGCAAAATGAGGTTACAAGAATTTTTCGTCATAGTAACAAAGATAGTATTGTTTTTGCTGTCTTAAAATACTGCTCAGAGATGATCTGAAATTGTCTTACAATTACTACTTTAAAAAAATCAGATCTCCCTGATGCTCTATACTGAAATGTGTTTTTGAGTGACAGGAACACTTTGCAGGTAGATTTATTATGATTTTTACCATCTGCTTTAATTAATGAGGGAGCAGAGCATTTCAAAATAACTTTTGGTTCTGATTGTTCTGGGTGAATGATGGGCATTAGACAGCTAGGGATACTTCCTCTGGAAATAGTGATTTGCCAGTTGTTTGGATGCTCATGTTTTTATTTGTATGGAAATATGCTAATGTACATTCATTTTGTGTTTCCACATAGCTGCAGCTTCAGCCACAGTGGGGCTGTCTGTGGTGTGGGGTTGTAGGCAGAGGTCTCATTGTTTGGCCTTGAAGAATTTGTTAAAAAATATTGGATTAGTACTTTGCTCTGTTGCTTTTTAGTTGAAAAGGAGTTAATAAAAGTAAATGTACTATAAGAAATTCATGAAATCAGCGAGCAGGTAAAATGTTATTATTTGAGATGCATAATGTTGCATAATGGATGTGTACAAAGTGTGGCAGAGATGGAAGTGCTCTCCAGACATAATGAAAGAGCATGGATTCCTGTTTCCATAATTGAAGTTATTTTGTACTTATCTGTTGGGAAAAAACCCAGGGTTTTTTTAACAGATTTGCTTTCCATTAGTAATTATATTTATCTGCAGCTCCAGACACCTTGCCAAGTTTTTAAAAAAATTAAAGTTGGAAGGAAGATGCATCTTCTTTCAAGATAATTAAATGTTTTGACTGTAGATTTTACCTCCAGAGTAAGTAAAGTATATCTGCATTTAAAAAGTTTTAATTGCTCACATGGTTTGTAAGAGTTGCACAAAGGAACAACCTGCTTAATCCAAGGGGTCAGAGAAAAGGGTATAAATATGTTATATTTCAACTTCATTTTTTGAAGTATAATGAACTGTTATTAGTATGTTTTTAAAGTAGTTGCCATTAGCAGTCTGATAACTGTTGTTTAAGGTGTGCTCTTGCTGTCCCTGAGATCAAAGTTTTGGGGTTGAGCGTCTCATTAACTTGTGGCTATACCTTGAGCACTGGCATAGGGATGGATATCAGCCTGGATTTTGGGCTTGGTTCTGCTCTGCAAAACACCACACAGAAATGCAGGAAGCCTTCAAGAACAGGATTTTTTTAACAGATTTGCTTTCCATTAGTAATTATATTTATCTGCAGCTCCAGACACCTTGCCAAGTTTTTAAAAAAATTAAAGTTGGAAGGAAGATGCATCTTCTTTCAAGATAATTAAATGTTTTGACTGTAGATTTTACCTCCAGAGTAAGTAAAGTATATCTGCATTTAAAAAGTTTTAATTGCTCACATGGTTTGTAAGAGTTGCACAAAGGAACAACCTGCTTAATCCAAGGGGTCAGAGAAAAGGGTATAAATATGTTATATTTCAACTTCATTTTTTGAAGTATAATGAACTGTTATTAGTATGTTTTTAAAGTAGTTGCCATTAGCAGTCTGATAACTGTTGTTTAAGGTGTGCTCTTGCTGTCCCTGAGATCAAAGTTTTGGGGTTGAGTGTCTCATTAACTTGTGGCTATACCTTGAGCACTGGCATAGGGATGGATATCAGCCTGGATTTTGGGCTTGGTTCTGCTCTGCAAAACACCACACAGAAATGCAGGAAGCCTTCAAGCTCTGCTGAGTTCAGTCTGGTCCTCTGAATGCCTCCAGAATATAAATAATAAAAACCTGATCATTCATCTCTAAGCTCAACTCTTGACCTCTCTGGCAAACTGAGAAGTTCTTGAACTTTTATTTTTCTTGGTGCCGGGGTACCATGATCCACAGCTTCATTTGTCTGGGGAATTCAGCTCTGCAGTCCTCTACGGGGGACTTTAACTGTTGTAAAAGGTTGTTGGCCTTCATCTGACAGCCCCTTTGAGAAGTAAAATGAGAGCCATTACTGCAGTTGAAATACAGAGGTACCTACCTGCAGTTCTCTCTGTCCCAAGACACTTGTAATGGCTATTGACACAACTGAGCTCCTTGTAAGGGAGCTGTGAATCTGCTGGGTTTTGGTAGGAGAGCTTTACTTTTCCTTTGATATAAAAAGGAAAGATTTCCCTGTTTATTTTGGAAAGGGCCTTTCTTTAATGTTGTCATGACAGTTCTCTCCTTGAAGGTAATGGATTAAAGGATTTCCCCCACCT